AATTCACATAAACTTCCCAAGGACTAATGGTTGCAGGAGAATCTCTGCATAAAGAGCTACACATGTGGAACATTTATCCAGCCACCTCCCTAGCAGTTCCTGTGCTTTAGTATCCTCTACTTTGAAGCAGGAATAAATCCTGCATCTGAACTTGTCTTTGTTTGCACCTGTGATGAGCAAGTATAATTAGACCTATTGCAGCAGTGGGTTGAGAACTTAAAGGCAGGTTTTATCTTGTTATTTAGTCCTATGATGCCAAACACAATGGAGCCCTGGGGCTTTTAGCTGCTACCAATTCCACCAGATCAAAATAGAATTAATAAAATGAATGACTTGTCTGTTGGCTCCGTGCACAGCTCTTCCTGGGGACCCAGTACACCAGTGCAGAGGAAGTCCTAATGCTGCCTAAATCAGCACTGGCACAATGGAGGAAACCTCTGGCTCCACAGGTACAGCCTTTGGTGAACCACTTAGCTGCATTTCAGATCCAGATCTGAAACACAAGGGAAGATTTCATAAGCACTGTGAAAAGATTAAAGGGGTGCAGAAGAGGTTAGAAATTAGGGAGTGATAAAAGCTAGTTTTCTAGCTAGCTCTAAGGGATAGACGCAGGTTATTTATCCTGTCACCAAGACTATCAGTAGTAGGGCTGTGCAAAGCTTCGGATCGCTATTCGGATTCAGAGATGATTCGGATGATTTGGAGGCTGAATCTATTAATCCAAATTGAATCGCTGGAAGTTTTAGGCTTTCCGAATCGATTCGGAACTTCCAAATCGATTCAGAGAAGATTCGGTGATTTGGCCATAGGGTACAATGGGATATCAATGAAATATCTATAACTTTGTTTTCTCTTGGATGATTCAGATGAAATGTGCAGGGATGGTAGCTTCTGCTGGGAGCATGATGTGTGCCAAGTTTCAAGGTGATAGGTCCAGGGGATTCTGGGGAAATTCCCCTCAAAGTCCTGAAAGCAAAACTCATGTCACGTGTGTGTTAAGCCACAGGGGGGTGAAAACTGCAGGGGTGGCAGCTCTTGATGAGGCCACAAAGCCTGCCATGTTTCAAGGAGATCAGTGCAGGGTTTTTGGGGCAACTGTACCCCAAATTCTTGAAAGCAAAACTCCTGTCACATCTATGTGTTACAGCACAAGGGGGTCAAAACTGCAGGGGTGGTAGCTCTTGCTGAGGCCACAAAGCCTGCCAAGTTTCAAGGAGATTGGTATAGGAGTTTGGGGGGAAACTGCCCCTCAAGCTGCTGAAAGGCAAAACTTGTGACACAGATGACCCTGTGTTCCCCCAAACCCCTCAATTGATCTTCTTGAAACTTGGCAGGCTTCATGCTCTCAGCAGAGGCTGCTACTCCTGCAAGTTTCATCCAAATCAGAAAAAAATAACAAAGCTATAGCTATTTCATTGATTCCCCATTATACCCTATGGCCAAATCTCTGAATCAGCTCCGAAGGTTCGGAGCCGATTCGGCTGAATCGAAGCAGAAAACCGATTCAGAGCTCCAAACCGAATCACTGGCATCCAAATCAGCTGAATCCGAACCTGAATCAAATAGTTCCCTATTCGCACAGCCCTAGTCAGTAGACTGAGCCAGTGAGATGTCCCTATTTCCAGAAGGTAAGAGTACGTGGATGTTTCTTGCTGTCTGCAATAATGGCTGCCAGCTGCTAGCCAATATGAATAAACATTTAAAATATTAAATAGCCTCATCCAATTCCCAAGGTAATTCAATTACTGCGCTGTGATTGTTACAAGCTGCTTCTACAATGATTAACTGACACCGTCTCTGGGGTGTCATCTATGGCTATTTGGTGTCATGCACTTTCATCTAAGGGAATATCTATGTTCCCTTCTTCCTCCTGTGGCTTTTAATTGCTGGTGTCAAGATGGTGATTGGGGAAAACACTAAATTAAGAGTCCATTATATGAATGCGTCTGAGGCTGTTGCAGTGGGTTATGCCTCCCACTCCCACTCTATTTTTTCCTTACTTGGAAGGCTTTATATTCTAGCCTACTAACAATATACAAAGAATATCTGTCTGAGGGCAATATGCATAGACTTCTGGCAGATGTGGGAAATGGCTGCTTGGGGAGGCTTTTAAGAAGTCAGCTGTGCAGAGTTATGCTATAAAATAATCCCTAAAAAGTTTCTCTGCAGTGGAGAGCATATTATTAGATTGAAAAGGGGTGCTTTGCATTTAGTATGCTTTATTTGAAGGTTTGCAATACCCATGCTTAAGCCATTTGTGGTTACCCATGACGTGGATCCAATGAAGAGCACCTTGAACATCATTGTAGAATATGACTATAATGCAGGTTGGTGTGCCTGAACCAGCCAGGGCCCGATATGCCTTTCCTCTTCATCCTGTACAATGGCAGAGCATAGTGGAGAATTGGATCTCATTCTTGTGTGGAGCTTGTCAGAGGGAAGTGTAGATGGGAAAACAGAAAACCAGGACAGCAGCTCATGAGAACTGCTGTGATGGAGCCAATACAGTCCACCTCAAGGGAATAGTCTGAGCTCAGTCAAAGAAGCACAAGTAGCTGCAATCTTAGCTTCATCCATAATATAGTCCCCACCTCTGACATCCTACTGCAAAGGCTGTGTCATGAAAAATGCAGATGGTGTTGTTCTATGTTAAGTGAAAGCACCAAACATTGATCGCTAGGAAGGAAATGGATACTACTACTAATACTACTACTATAGATACAGATTAGAAATGGAAGCTCTATTGATGGGCACTAAGTATTGAAATATTTTTAAAAGATACACCTACATGTTTTAGGACATCATCAAACTTGTCCAAGCCTCATAGGGCTATGAGAACAGGGACAGTGGTTAAAAGAGACAAGTCTCTTGGCCCAGTAACTCCACCCGAAGCCCAAATTTTCCAACAAGACACTTTTTATTAAGACATTATGTAAACTGTAATCACTTTTAAAGTTGTAATGCTGTGTTCTACTGTCACACCGGGCGCTAGTCCTGTATGTTTGTTGAAATGTATGTCTTCTCAGTTGTGTACCTAGGACAAATCTGGGAGGAAGGTAGGAAGGCCCTAATATGCAGGTGTGCTGTTATCCCGGTTTGGGGCTTGAAGGACTTACAGGAAGAAAGGCTTGTAATGGGGCCCTAACAGGGTCTGAATGTACAATGAGCGAAGAGAGCTGAGTTACCTGAACAGGTCACCGTGTGATGGGGTGAGCCTGTGACTCCCTCACTTCCTCCAGGTTTAATACTGGGGGATGAGCCCATCAAATATTTGGAGATTAGGCTAAAAGAGTGTAAAGTTTCCATGGAAAGCAGAATATCTCCTGGATACAAAAAAACAAACAAAAATCATCCAGTCCTCAATCAGCAGCCAAGATCTCCTCCTGCGTGGCTGGACCTCCTACATATCACAGATGATAGATTTTTTTTTCCTTTGCCTAGCTACCCCTTCCTGAGCCCAAAACCTGGGGCCTGACTACAGCGCATCTTGCAGAAAGACCTCTGGTCTTTAAAAAGGAATACATCCTTTCCTTTGGTTTATTCCAGGGGGTATTACCCTGACTACTACTTGTTTTAATTGTATCATATCTGATTTGAATTCATTTGGCTTCCACTTCCAGCCATTGGATTTTGTTCTGCCTTTCTCCATTAGATTGAAGAAGCTTTTAGTCCCTGTTATTTCCTGCCTATCATGGTACTTAGGCCCTAATGAAATCACTTCTTGATCTCCTTTCTGATAAGCTAAGAAAACTGGGCTCTTAAAGTCTGTCCCTGTAAATCCTTTTCTTTCCCAGCCCTCCATTCCCTTTTTTTTTTGTTCTCTGCTGCACCCTCTGCTGAGCAGCCCCCCCCAAGGTCCCCACACCAATTTTTCAAAACTGCCTTCCAACAGAACTGGCTGCAGTATTGTCACATTGATGATCCCAGTAGAAATCCAGCCAGGAGTGACCTTGTGGAGAAACTGAAGCTAAATCCCTGCCCTGTGGATCTCAAAGGGGTTGGGGCTGAGCATAAAGGAGTCCCTAGAGGAAGGTTAGTCCTGGGGTAACAGCACATCTGCATTCTAGGGCTTTGCTACCTTCCTCTCATATTTGTCTTCTCAGTTGTGTACCTAGGATATACATCAACAGAACTGGGTAATAAGCTAGGACCATTGGCCCAGCACGGCACTAGGTGGACATGTCCAGATGTACAACTTCACATCTTCCTCACCGGGGGAAAGCGTCCAGATAAGAACAAGGCAGAGCCTCATTGTCCTGCTTCCCTCATCAGGCTGTGAGATGCTTCCAGGGGTGACTCTCACTGGGCTCTCTGACACCCGGGGTCCCTCTTTCTGACCAGAATGAAACCCTGACTCCCAGAGCTCCGTTTCTTGTTCACGTCTCTCAAAAAAAGGCAGTTTCACTTTTGACTTAATTAGTTGTGGTCTGACTGGTTCCATTTCTCCTGCCAGGGCAATAGGAAGGGGCTGACCTTGCCCTAAGTTTTACTTCTAAGCGGTGTCGCTTTGGAGAACCAGCAGCCATGCAAGCTCAGTGGTCTGCCTGGGCCTTGCTCCCTTCACAGGCATCAGGAAACTCCCCTTCAACTGCAGTGGGTGCCTGGCCACTAACTGAAGGGAATCTGAAAGTCGGGACAGGCTGGGAAGTCCCCAGCAGCCACCCACCAGGGTGGGGTGGAGATTTGCTGGAACATCCCTACGAGCAGAGATGAGAACAAGCAAGCATAGCAGCTTGGAGCAGTCAGCACTTAATTTTTCC